CACTTTCAGGCTTGTCCTTAAAAACTTCCTTCAGGGATCCCTGGGTGGCGCAGCAGTTTGGCGCCTACCTTTGGCCCAGGGCGCGATCCTGGAGACCCAGGATCGAGTCCCACATCGGGGTCCCGGTACATGGAGCCTGTTTCTCTCTCTGCCTGTGTCTCTGCCTCTCTCTTTGTGTGACTATCAAAAATAAATAAAAATTAAAAAAAAAAAAACTTCCTTCACTCAGGCTTATTCCTCTTCCCCATCTGCTGGAAGAATAAAGAGGATTCTAAAGTCCATGGGCCAACCATGTAAAGCGGGATGCCCCCCACCTCCTACCACCAGCACCTCAGTGACCTTCACTGAATTAAATTGTTGTTTGTTAAGCTATGGAGTTGACCTCTGGGGTGGAATTGGGATTGAACTGAAACTCTAGGATTGTTTGATATTTGGTTAACATTTCCTAACTAATACAGCAATCAAAACTATTCATATGAGATTATACAATCCTTTATTTCAACCTATCTTCTCAAAACTTCCCTTCTGTTCCCTTGACTACATTTGCTGCCTCCCTGGAAAAAACTCAGCTCAGCTCAATTCCATTGTCTGGTTTCTCAACTTTATTTTAGCTGAAAGGTACAAAAGTAACGCTACCTTTTAGCTATAGAGTAGAAGAGTCATTCACAAGACCAAAAGGACTGGTAATGACTCAGGTGACCAGCACCTCATAGGACCTCCTACCAGTCCACTTATTTTGACAACTTCCCCAGTGATTCTTGATCTCTAGGAAACATTCAATATTAACTGGTCATTCCCCCCCTTGAACCGAACTCTTCTGTTGGCTCTCACCATACCGTTTTCCAAGTCTGCCTACCTCTCTTTTACTCCTTAGATTCCTTCCCAGTTTCTCATTCTGCCCCAACTCTTTATTTCTCCATTAGCCTTTAAATCCTGTATTTTCTTCCATGCTTTTATCCACTGGAGGCAATTTCATCTACTTCCATGATTTCAACTACCATGTATACATTGAGAGCTGTAAAACATATTTCCAGTCCAGATAAGTCTTGAAATTTAACCCTATTGACATCTCCAATAGGCACCAAAAAATGTATCTGAAACTGAAATCATCACCTTTTCCCCTAAAATATGCTTCTTCTTCCCCTGCACTCCCTTTGTCAGGGTATGTCCTGAGCCATTGCCTGGAAAGAGAACTCCCTCCTCCCAATTCCACAACTATTTATAACTCTTCCTACCCTCTAAATGTATTTTGGATCTTTCCTGTCTACATACCAGTTGCTACCAACATTTGTATTTTACCTGAATCATTTCAAAAACATCTTCACCAATTTCTACATTTCTAGTTTTACTCCTCCAAATCATCCCATATGGCCGACACACAATCTTTCCACCATACAAGTCAGATGATATCCCTTCCCTAAAAACTCTTCAATGGCTTCCTACTACCTTTGAGATAAATAGTTCTCTGTCTCTTCTCAACTCTAGACACTTTTATCCAACAACTCTCTGGACACTTTTACTTCCTTCTCCCACAGTAACTCATATTCAACATATCTACCCTTCCTAACTGAATCCAAATCTGAGTTTCTCACTATACTTCCTTCTCCATGGAGAGCACCATTATCTCACCTGTGCCTAAATCAGATATCTAAACAGCATTGCTGATGATGACAAGTCCTCTTCCCAACATCCAGTTCATCACAAATCCTCCTCAATGCATCAGCTTCTCCTCAAATCCAGCACAATCACCAAGCCCAGATCACCATAATCTCTTGTCTGCAACAGCCTCCTAACTCATCTCCTTTTTCTAACCTTGTCCTCCCTTCAAAACCTTTCACATACAGGCAGACTCATCTTGCTAAAATTTATGATTGTACTTGAAACCTTACAATGATACTCCATGGCTTTCAGCACCACAAAAAAAAAAAAAAAAAAAAAAAAAAGCTTCAGTAGAGCTGAGGCCCTAGAGAAGGAAGATGAAAAAATAATTAACAACATAAGAAGATAATAGATAAGGTCAAGACACAAGAGGGGAAGGTGATTTTAGATCTAATGGTCAGGGCCAGTATATTCCCGAAGTGACATTTCAATGTGACCTGAAGGACCAGAAGGAAGTTGCCTTGAAAAAAAAGAGGTAGACTTCAGTTTGTTTACTTACCATCATCCCCCATGGGCTGTGAGGTCCCTGAGGATAGGACCCATGAATTATTCATCTTTCAGTTCTAAACATCTACCACAGTTTTTTATACTCTTAGGTTTTGAATACTTATTTGATGAGTGAAGGGATGAATGAAGGTTGCATTTAAATTATCGGGCAGTGTAACTTTAAGCTAATCGTGTGCTCACATTTTTTTGTACAAATGTTGACATCAACTTGTGGAAATTTCAACCCAACAAATTTCTGGACAGCCATAAGACAAGATAGTCTTTAAAGAGGGGTTTTGCTTTCCTTAAATCCTTCTAAAATATTTCAGAGCAGACTCTGTACAGCAGGATCTTTGATAACCAGGAGCCCAAAGGGAATATCACAATGGATGAACCATCATAGCAAAGGGTATTTCAGCCCCATCAACTATAAAAAGCAGCATCAGTTAACAGTCTGGGCTCCAAGGGTCCCTGGCTTTGAGCTTCTTAATCGGCAAAAACTTTTTATACAAATTCAAATCAACCTCAGACATTCAGATTCGTAAAGAAAATGATTTCAAATAGGTATGGTTCGTTTCTGCTAAGTAGCAAAAAGTAATAAAATATACTAAAATATACTGTACTGCATGTAATTACAGAACTTGATCCTGGAATATAAGATATTTAGGTTCATAACCCCTTACTTGCAAAGTAAAAGGTTTGGGGGGTTTTAAAATTTTTTTAAAGATTTTATTTATTTATTCATGAGAGACACATAGAGACAGGGAGAGACATAGGCAGAGTGATGATGCAGGACTCCATCCCAGGATGGCGGGATCACAACCTGAGCAGAAGGCAGACATTCAACCACCGAGCCACCCAGGTGTCCAAAAGGTTTTTGTTTAAAACAAATAGGGGCACCCAGGTGGCTCAATCAGGTAAGCAGCAACTCCTGATTTCAGCTCAGGTCATGATCTCAGAGTGGTGAGATAAAGCCCTGTGTTGTGCTCTGCACTGGGCCTGGAGCTTGCTTAAGATTCTCTTTCTCCCTCTGATCTGCCCCTCCTCTGCCTCTCTCTCTCTCTCTCTCTCTCTCTCTCTCTCTTTCCTTCTCTAAAAACATTTAAAATAGAAAAGTAAAACAAATAAACAAAACAAAACAAAAATTTAGCAGCAAAATATAACCTGATATGAAAATGTTTATCTCTCATTTAATCCACTTAGTGTGATGATTGTTCATTTGCTTTAATGAAGAAACATAACGTGTTTAATTAAAGGGTGCTGACTCTTGACCCCACATGAATATAGGGTAATATAGGATATATGTGATATATTTTTCTTCTAAAATCCAAAAATATACTTTTCTTCTAAAATCCAAAAAATATACTTTTCTTCTAAAATCCAAAAAATTCTGACATTAATGACACAGCTGGCCCCAAGTGTTTTGGGTAGGGATCTATATTCTAAGACTCACCCAATTCTATTATCTTGAATTAAAGACTTCCATACTGTGTGGGCTTTGAAGTACTCAATGAAAGTAAAGTCACAGAAACACAATTAGCATTATTTCAGCATTTGAAAGCAATATATAATCGAAAACTGTTCTGAATTTCCTTCCAGATTGGTTTTAAAATATGCATTCATGCCACTATACTATTGCTTTTCCAATAAATATAAACTTCTATGAGCTAGAGCTTCTGATCATGAAGAAAGTTTTATGTATAAATCCATGACACATCAAGCCTTAATCTGGGCATTGCAATCTTCAGAATAATTTGCCAAAGCTTCTAATTTCCCCAAATGTTTCATTGTTCTCATTTTATAACTTTTGTAACTTTTTTACATTTTTATATTTTTCTTCTGAAAGTTTCAAGAACAGCACCTGCCTGCTAAGAGCAAGGGAAATATTGTTTGCAGGGCACACATCCAGTACCCAGATGCAAACCTCTTTATGGAAATTACTTCTAATTCTCACAATCATCCTACAGATATATTTTTTATTTTTCTTTTCTATTCTTTTCATCATACAAATGAGCAAACTCAGGTTCAGTTTGTCCCAGGTCACAGTGCTACTAAGTGACAGAGCAGAATTTGAACCCAGTAATGTCTAGTTCCAAAGTCTTTCTTCCAAAACGTCAGGGGCAAATAATTGGCCCAGGCTCCAATCTCATTCTCAACTTGAGCACAACTGAAAAAAGACTTTAGGGCTGCTTCATCTGTGGTACAAATGGGAGCGTAATGTTGTTGTTGTTTAATGCCTTTCCAGTAATTTTATAGTATCTCTACACTTCCATAAAATGAAGATAGAATATCTGGTTTTAAAAGATTCAACTTTAAAGGCATATAAGATAACAATCGATGTGATTTTGGTTTTGTTTTATTTTTTAATGAATACACATAATTGAGTAGGCTTATCAACAAATATAACAAAATCAGATGTTTAATATTCACCCACCTTTTAGAAGCACCAACTACATTTATTGGAAATATGATCATACAAGTTGTAGAGAAAGGCTTACGCCTCATAACAACATAGCACAAAGAGACAGAGATGAAGATCATTAATGATTTTAATTATTTTAAGGCCCATTAAAATTAGAGAAATATCAAAGCACCCACAATGTTAAGGGTTTATTATTATAGCATTTTAGAGTTAACTAGTTCATACCTTTCAATCACAGCAAGTTATTAGCAGTGAAGGGATGAACCCTCTTAAAAGGATTTTTATTTCAATGATACAGTGTTACGGACAAGACAACCTAAGTTTAAAAAAATTAGTAGCAAGCGCTAGTTGAGTTAATCAGTTAAAGACAAACTGTGCCCTTGGGAAGCTAAATGAAAAAGCAACAGTAAAGCTTACAGAACTTAGCTCGTACAATTTGCCTTGAAGGCGGAAGATTGGTTCCCTGAAATAGCAAAGAATTATATGCTTTAGTTCAGAAAAAAGTTTTTAAAATAAAGTCTGTTATTACCTCTTCTCCTTTCAAAACAATGGAAAAAATTCTAGAGCAGAGGTTTCAATTTGTTCAATAATTGTACCTCTGAATTTAAAAAAAACGTGAAATCATCATTGTTTTGACTTGAAAAGAAATAACAATACAAATATTCATTATCACATAAAACATAAAAGAAACAGCAAACTGTCAGAGTTAATGCAATCTCTGCAGAGCGCTATTAGTTAGAGACAGCAGGTCAGCCCAAAACACAAAAACCTAAAAGATCAGATCTAGGAATTAACGTCTTCATTAACCAACAGGAATTTTTTGTGGCAGAGATTCAATCCAACAACTGCCATCTTTATGAGCTGTCCCTTCACTGTTACCAAGCTGTGCAAATGTGTGAACTAGTCAGCAGCACCAGAAGCTCATGCAACTACTCACCGTATTTTAACCTTGAACTGACTCACAGATTTGATGTTAAATCAAATTTAGGGGTAACATAAGCAAGCAAAGTAGGACACAAAGAGTCAATTGTGAAAAGCAGAGCAAATAGCAGAAAAGTTATCTAAAATAAATCATAAAGTGCGTAAAATAGCAAAAATAAATAAATAAATAAAATGCAACACACTCCAAAAACCTTACAAGCAAAAACAAAACAAAAAGCTGCATTTTCAGCAAAGTTTGCACACGATTATTTTGCATTAAAAAATAATCAAGCGACTGAGTTCCAATTCTCTGGGGCAGGCATGCACTGATTATTCTAAAAATTCCTACCTGATTTCCAATTGTGTTTTTCTTGTGAACCTGACTGCTCCTCTGCTGAGCACTGAGAAAAGCAAAGGAGACCATTGCTGAAGAAACTCATAAGATTTTTTTTGGAACAAGTAACACATATTAAAATATATACAGGTTTTCAAAATGTATCAACAACTCAGGCAGAGCAAATACCAAAAATCCAGGCCAGTTTAAGTCTGGAAGCAAGACCAACTCAGGGGAATTAGTACCAATTAACCACACCAAACCATAAACATAAATCACAGTATAAAAAGTTGTATTGCCACACTAATCACATGAGTCTGTGCAAGGACTTGGGGTATTCTAGGAGGTATACAGAATAGCTGTAGTGAAAATGAACGGTTCACATTCATTGAGTATGTTATGTTCTAAGTGTTTTACAGGTATTAGTGACTTTGATTTAAATTTTTATTTTAACTCCATGAAGTAGTTACTATTATTCTTCTCATTTTATAGGAGGAGAGAATGAGTCACAGAGAAGCAAAGTGGCTTTCCCAAAGTTCCTCAGCTAATAAGTGGTGGTATCAAGTCGTCTGATTCCAGATCCCAAATTCATGCTATTACCCAGTCTCACTGCTTTGAATTCCACAACATTCTGACAGTTCCCATAGTGATCTCCAGCTTGGACTTATATCCCCTAACTCCAGACTCATAAATGTTTTGGACAATTCACCCTCTCCACTTGGATGTCTAATGGGCATCTCAAATGTAATAGGCCAAAACTGAACTTGTGATCTCCTTCCTAAAACCTGCTCCACCACAGTTTTCCCCTCCTCAGGGGCAATTCCGTATTTCCAAGTGCTTAAGCCAAAATCCTCGTTTTCTCTCTCTCACACTCCACATCCAATCATGACAAAATGCTATTGACTCTACTTTTTTAAATGTATTCAAAATTCGGGTGACTGGTGGCTTGGTTGGTTAAGCGTCCAACTCTTTGTTTCAGCTAAGGTCATGATCTCGGGATCATTAGATCAAGCTCCACATTGGGCTCCATGCTCAATGGGAAGTCTGCTGTAGATTCTCTCTCTACCTTTCCCCCACTAATACTCCTATTTTCTCTCTCAAATAAATAAATGTTTAAAATAAAGTAAAATTTATTTAAAATTCAACATTTTGGGGCACCTGGCTGGCTCAGTTGGTGGAGCATGCCGACTCTTGATCTTGAGATTATAGATTCAAGTCCCATGATGGCTTTACTTTTACTTAAAAGTAAAATTTTTTAAAAATTAATTAATTTACTTAAATAAAATTCAACATCTTTTTACCACTCCCCATTGTTACCACATTAGTCCAAGCCATGGTTATCTTATTGTTTTGATCACCTATTTTGGTCTCTGCTTCCACACTTGTCCCCCAAACATCAATCCTTAACACAGAGGCCAAAGTGATCCTTTTTTTAAAAAAAGGGGCTTTCTGCCATTCTTCTGCTCAAAACATTCTATACTATTATGCAATACTATTCTACCCAGGGTGAAAGTCCTTACCATGGTCCATAGGCCCTACTCAACCGGCCTCCCACCCTCTGCCTCTTTAAATCATCTACTCTCCCCAACTTGTTCATGGGAGAGGTCCAGCCACACAGACTCCTTTCTTTTTTTCGGACCTGCCAAGCATGCTCCCACCTCAAAACCTTTATGCTACCTATTCCCTTTGTCTAGAATATGCATCCCCCATACATCAGCATGGCTCTCAGCATCACCTCTTTGAAGTCTTTTTTCAAATTTATCTTTTCAATGAGACCTACCATGATGACCCTATTCAAAATTGCATCCCTCCCTTCCAGTACTCTCATCCTCTTTTTACTATTCTATTTTTCTCCATAGCACTTTATGCCTTCAAACATACTATATAGTTTACTGATTTTTGTGTGTATTATTTTCTGTCTTCTTCCATTACAACATAAGCTCTTGTGAGCAAGGGGTTTTGTCTGTTCCATGCCCCCAGTGCCTTGAAACTATGTGGCACCCAGTTGGCTTCAACAAGCATCTGTTGAATAAGAAGTCCAATGAGATTGGTATCATTACAACATGAGCATAGAGGGATTAAGAGCTAGATATGACCCCAAAAATTTAACTCCAGAGCCCAGATATTTATGTGCTATGTTATTCTCTCTCTCAAAAGAATGAAGGCTTTCTTTGAGTAAACACTTATTCATACAAGAAATCACAAGTCATTGTGGTAATTCTGAAAAGCAGACCCTCCCATTAGTTGTTTAATAGTTTTTAGAAGCTGTTTTAGTGATGAAATAGTTTAAAATAGAGAAAATGTAGATTAAAGTCATTAATCAGCTATTTAAAGTGATGGGATATTGTGGTTCAGTAGCAGATCACAAATCACACATTTAGAACAGCTGTTCAAAATAGCAATCTCCTATAATCTACTGTGATGTATTTAAGCTGCTTCTCTTCACTCTCAGGAAGAAACATATACTACATTCAAATGAGGTTGGGGAAGGCATGAGTGGTAAAAGGGCACACAGTATTTGATTACTAAAGACATTTTATGTGTATTTTTTGTTTTGTTTTTCAATTTGCTAATTTCGGGGTCTGACCTTCTTTCCTGTTTGTTATTTTCCTAGTTTTTAGTTAAATGCTTGCTTCTCTTAGTCACTATGAAATTCATCTCTCTCCAACCATCTCTCTACATAATCCAAATCTACATTATTCGGGTTTTTGTGGTGAGGTTGTAAATACAATAAAGTTTGTGTCAGGCTATGGCCAGGGGTCGATATGCCCACTGCCCTCTCGCTGCCCACCATGCCTCGAAGCATGGAGTGCATCTAAAGTATTTCTCTTCTGAGGCTTCAGATCTTGGCCATGCTTTTTTCCTCTGGGGCCTGAAGCATCCGCCCCTTCAGGGAAGAGCTGGGACCAGCTACTACTGTAGTGTGACCATGCCAACTTCACAGCTATGGTCAACATTTCCAAGTACCATAATTGTTCAGGGTTTTCTTAAGAGGAAATGTTTTTAAATAAATCATTTACTAGTGGTAATAATTTCAAACTATAATAGACCCACAGGTGTTTAAAGCAGGCAAACTATAGGGGACCCTTGAATTATGTGTAGATTCCCCTTAAAATCACATAGGAGAAAAACAGAACATAAAGCAAAAGTTAGAGACTGTTGACAATTCTCTGTGCAAAGAATATGGCCATACAGACCACAGTGTCATATCTAAAAGTGAGTGTATGTGTTCAGACAGAGACAAGGGGTAAGGGATTAGACTAATTTCTTAGGTTCCCCTTAGATCCAAGATTACTTGAGATGCAAAGTTATTCTCAGAAGCTTATGACCTACACAGTAGAAAAAGAGATTTTCTACTGACAGAACCTTTATCTACTAAATAATATGTAGGATCTACCATATTCTAAGAATATGTAGGAGTAAAAAGAGATATATTTTATAAGCCAATATCCAGTATTAGTGTTAAAAATGGGGTGCCTGGGTGGCACAGTTGGTTGAGCATCTGACTCTTGGTTTCAGCTCAGGTCATGATTTCAGGGTTGTGAGATCAAGCCCTGTGTTGGGCTCGGTGCTTATCACAGAGTTTGCTTCAGATTCTCTCTCTCCCACTCCCTCTGCCCCTCCTGCTTATGTTCTCTCTCTCTCTCTCTCTCTCAAATAAATCATCAATAAATCTTTTTTAAAAAGCCCAAATCCTAAATTAACTTTACTTTTGACCTAAAGAATAATCTTTTCACAGCAACTGGCCCCATAAAGACAAAGATACTTATTAAAGATGTATTTAGTACTTGAAGTTACTACATAAGCAACACAATAAAAAATAAACTGTCTAGTTATAAAACATTCTTTATCATAATTTTTATGTATGCTGTGATGATTGAACTAAAAACATTTCAAAATATTTATTTAAAAATGGGAGGACTCCTGGGAAAACAGCAGAGTAGGAGGATCCCAAGTTCACTTGGTCCAAGGAACACACCTGGATAACAGCCACATCAGTGCAACCACAGCAGAGAATGACCCAAAGACTGGCAGAATAGACTTTCCACAGTTCATCAGAGAGAGGACGTCACATCAAAAAATGTAGGGGGCAAAGATGCCATGCATGGGGAGCCAGACTCCTGGTGAGACTAAGCAAAAATGCGAAGGACTCCATAAGCACAGAGAAGACCTTATACCAAGGATCCCAGGCACAGGGGATCTACAGGAGGAATATAAGGCCCCATAACAGTTGGCTTTGCAAACCCTTGGAACTTAACTTTGTGAGTTTTTGGGGGTTTTTTTGGGTTTGTTTGTTTGTTTGTTTTTACAACCAGTGAGACTTAACTCTGGAACTTAAAAAATTGGCAGACTCAACTCTGAGAGCTATGAAGAGAGATAAGAATCTGAATCCCTGCCCCTAATGAGACAGTACAACAAACAATCCCACCTAGATACAGCATAGAAGCAGCAGTTTGAAAAGGCACAAGGGGTTATGGGAAGGAGATTTATTTACTAATTTCAGAATGCATGCTAGAGGGGCAGAAATCTTTAGGAGAGTTCTCCAAGAACAAAACAGTTATAAAATGCCATTTCTTCCTACCTGCCTACACTCCTACCCCAAGCCTAGATCTTGACATCTTGATCAGACATCTTGGAAACCAGCTTCAATACCCTCCACCTACCTTGCTGACACTGTGCACCCCACCCCTGCATTCTCTTGTGAATTCACTCCATCCAACCCACTCCACTCTGTAGGAGTCCTCCCAAAGTGGCTCCTACTGCATCTCATCCTGCAAGCAGCCTCAACAGGGACTGGCACCATTCCAAAGTGACTCCTGTCCTTGTGAGAGAGGAAGATAACCACACTCCAATTCCACTGCAGCCCTAGCAGCCTGGCCTTACAACTGACAGTGTAGAGAGAGTGCCCTGCTGATCAGTACATTTGCAGCCCCAATGGTATGGGGGAAGGTGTCTTTGTCTAACTGCCAGCCCCACCCACCAATAAAAACCTCCAGTGAGGCAGCACAGAAAGAAAGCCCTGCAGTTTGGGGTCACTTTGCAACCCTGACAAACAGGCTGAGAGGG